AACTTTTATAAAGTTCTGGTCTCTACGATTTTATTCTTATACAAAAATTTTATTATATTTTTATCATAATTTAAATTACTGTTTTATTATTTTTATTTATTAATTTCTTAATTTATAGTTTCTGTTTTCAGGAATTTTTTTTAAAATTCACTTTTCACACTTGAGCCCCACGTTGGGCGCCAATTAAAATTATTACTGTGTTATTTTATAAAAAATACACAAATTTAACTTTAATTCTAATTTATTTTTATTTTTTCTGTATTTAAATTACACTATACAACAGAATAATAAGGTGTTATGCTAACTGTTATTACTTTACGATTAACAGACGATTAACTGACAATTAACTGACGATTAACAATGTTTAAATCTTAGGTACTAATATTTATAACGTAAATTTGCTAAATAAGCATATTTGCCTATTGCAACATTCTTGTGAACATTATTGTGGGAAAATATTTTGGAATGTTTTGTTTGTTACGCATGATCACGTGGCAGTGCAACGTTAGTTATGGAATGTTTGCATTTTTGGTGTTAACTTGTATAAGCATATAATTTAAGTAAATGGTAAAATTGTAATTTTCTATTATATTGTACTGTTAACTAGTAATTTTGTATATTGAAATTAATAATTGTAATAATGTAATATTTTTTCTATAGAATATTTGTATTATTATGCAAATGTTGATTTAAATAATAATTTTTAGTAATAATAATTAGGCATTTACACTTTTTTCTTTAAATAATAATGCCGTTTTCTTATTCTCTTAGTTTAAGTAAAAATTTTTATAATAATTCAGAGAATACAGTATAATAAATAAATAAATAAAGAAAACAAAAAAAAATAAAAATTATTTCGTATCTAAAGCCCGCCCAATCTGTAGTTATTTTAGACTACAATCTGTAGTCTATTTGTTAAACTGGGCCTAAATAATGTTTTAGTTATTTTTTTAGTTAGTTTTAATATGACAGCAGAGTGACCCGAATTAAAATCATAGTTATCTTCAAGGCTTAGAAAGTTTTCTGATATTTTTTTGGTTATAAAAAAGTCAATAACATCAGGAATCTTCTTAGTGTCAGTAGGCCATACAACTTAGCTCTTGAATAGCTTTCCTTAGCTCTCTTTCTCTAGTTGAGGTGATTCCAGAAACCCAATCTGTATGTTTGGCATTGTAATCACCTCCTATTAGATATCCGTGTCCATGCTTGTACAGGAGATCTTTAAAAATATTTTTCTTAATGCTGCAATTTGGTGGACAATATACAGCACCAACACTAAAGTCCTGTTTAGTCGATTTAATTTTTATTGAAATAAGCTGAATTTCAGCCGTTTCTATCTTGAATTCTTCATTATGTTCTATACTTTCTTTTATTAGTATTGCACTACCTCCTCTTGGCTGATTGCTGGGATGTACCGCTTTATAGCAATCATAGCCTTTTATTTTAAAGCTCGTATAATATGTCAAATGAGCCTCCGACAGCAAACAAGTATCTATACTTCTCGTTTTGAGAAAGAATTCCAATTCTTGTTTCTTATTAAGAACACCTTTAGCATTCCAAGTTACTATACGTACCTCATTTACGTACATCTTTTCTTAACTTCTTTGGTGTTCCCGTATACATCTCAGTGTATGCATTTTCTATTTTTAATAATCTTTTAGAGATCTCGTCAATTCTAATCAACATACTATACATCATTTGCATAATGTCTGCGTCAGTTCTTTTAATTTGTGGGGTTTTGTTCTCAAGTTCCTTCATTTTCCGGTTTTGAGGGGTTTTTCTTTGAAGCGCTTGTGAATAAGATACTCCCTTTAACACCTTGCTAGGTGCCGCTATTCTGTCTATTTTTGGAGTTCTTTGTTCATTAAATTTAACTTGCTTTTGTTGGGCTTTATTCTTTTTCAGTCTTCATTTTTGCAATTCTTTTGCAACGAAACAGCCTTGATAGCTAGCAGGGTGTGCCTCATTGCAGTTCGCACATTTGGGCTGAAAATTATCCTTCCTGTTGCACTCCGCTGTCATATGATTACCAGCACATTTTACAAATCTAGCCTCTCTTTGGCAAAACTTTTGTGTGTGTCCAAATCTCTGGCATCTCTTGCATTGCAGAATTGATTTGCTGCTTCTAAGAGCTTCAATTTTTACTCTCATGTGCTGTAAGTATTCTATTTTATAGATCTTGGTTATCTCTTCCGAATGGTCAAAAGATAACATGAAGAGCGGAAGTTTTACTGAAATATATTTTCCATTTTCCTTCTTCCTTTTGATTTTATTTACAACATCTGGACATTTAAAGCCTTTGCTAATAAGCTCTTTTTTTATATCCTCTGGCTCACACGATGGATGGAGATTTCTAATTTACTTTAACTGGCCTCATCAGTTTATTCTCATACGTGTGCCACTCCAGTCTAGCCTTATTTATAGCTTTTGTTAGTAATCTGTATTGATTTTAATTTTCCACTTTTATTTTTAATTGATTATTATTCATATTGACCCTAACGTTTATTCTTTCTTCTTTTAATATCTTAACTATGTGGGAGTAGTTCTTAATGTTGCTCAATATAACCGGAGGAAGCTTGTGCTTTTTTGGATTTTCAGCCTTCATTTTAGGGCTGGTTTCATTATTTTTTTTAACTGTCCTCTCTGAATTTATTTCAGGAGACTTTTCCATTTTTCGCTTCTTTGCATTATTCTGTGTTAGGATCCAGTCAGTTTCTCTAACCAGTTCTTCCTCGTCGGTTTCATATACAATAACTTCGGCATCTTTGTTTTTCTTTTCTGTTCATTCAGATTTTATTTGATTTTTTGTATCTACCATTTCTGCCTGTAATTTGCAGATCTCGTTTTGTAGCACCTTACAAAAACTCTCTAACTCGATTATTCTCGAGTCCTGAGTATCCAATTTACTCTCCTGTATAAGATGCCTTTTCATACTACCCTCTTGGGTTTCCATTTTTTTGTCTTGCGCAAACTTATTAGACTTTTTCTCAGAGTTATCATCCTTAACTCTGTCCTTTTTCTCTACAATCACCAATGGGGGTGATCGCATGACCCCCGATTTCCTTCTAAATGGGTCCATAAACGTCGATCTACTATGCAACAAGTGGTCTCCCCCAGAATCCATGAGACCAGCCTCCAAAGAGTGTGGATTTTTCAGCATTACTGGATTACCACTTGGGGTTTTGTGTATGAATGAAAATATTTTTAATAGTGTGGTAGATATACTAGACTGTGTTTAAAAGCAGTATTTTCACGAATCTAAGTCTACTTTATTCAGAAGTCACATTATGAATTTGAATAAGTAAATTTTTTTGGTCTCCTACAATTACCTTAATCTATATACCTACTGTCTTTTTACTAATAGAGTTATTGTATAATGCTTAGCGAATTTCATTCTTCTTGAATTCGCTTGAACGATATTATAAATACCGAACTCGCCCAAATGATAAAATTTTTACGAGAGAAGTGTCAAAACAAGGCGAATCGAAATTATGTACATTTACTATAGAAGCAATTTTTAAAACTTTATTGTTATTTTTACTCGATAGTTCCGTAGTTTTATGGAGGCTACAGTGAGAGAAGGTAAAATATCTAATAAAGTAATCTATAATATTAAGATTTAAATTTTAATTCGTATTCAATAAAAATATATTGAAGGAAATGTAAAAAAAAAACAAGCAAAAACATTTCAGTAGGTGTAAACCGATTGAATTATATTCTGCACCTTTTATTGTTGTGAATCTGACTTTATTATTCTTTCAAATATTTAAAATTAGCTTCTGAACTTATATGGCAGGTACCCGAACTCGTCAAGCAATCCAGCCAAAACTTCCAAAATATATCTGACCTATAATTGGACACACAACTGCCAAGTTTCATGAATGACTTTATTATTTTTCCGAATATAAAAATTTGCTTTTGGAGTTGTATGGGAGCCATCCGAACCTGTGCCGCCATCAGTTAAAGTTTTTAGAGCATATGTAGAATGTAATTGGACACACGTTCACCTTTAGGTGAACCTAAAGGTTTATACCTTTATTAGTTTTTGAAATGCAAATAAACTATTTCTAGCGAAATGTAGGTCTGTCTGCGCACGCGTGTATCTCAAGTTCGGCTGAACCGATTTTGATGAAATTTTATATGTAGGTTTATTTCGACTATGGCACGGATTGATCATCTTTTGGGATATATTAGGCCTCAGGAACTGCACGTATAAGCAGGTCTGTTTTGCATTTTTGATGTTGAAGAAAACATCAAAAAAACATCTGTTAAAGAAAATATTCAACCGATGAACTTGAAATTTCAAATATAAACTCCGCTCGACCGTTCATGGAATCTCCTAACTTTTGGAGGAAATCAGGTGTCAACTGGACGTTTACTACAGGTCAAATATACGTTTTTCCGTATAAAAATTGAAATAAGCAACCGATTTCATTGAAATTTAATATTTGAATTCTTCTTATTAAAACAATGAACATATAAATTTTTTGGAAAGATCAGGTCTCGAAAACTGATCTGAGGGCCGATTTTACATTTTTTACCGTGTCTGTGGAACGATTTGATGGAATTTCTTGAAATTTGATATTTGAGTTCTGATTGTTGCCGAAACCAATTGACGTGTATTTCAGGGAATTCGGGTAACACAAAGCGAAGCTCCACTATTAGCCAAATTTACATTTTTCTAGGTATGTTAACTATAAGTTTTCTAATGCTTTAAAAATTTGAAACAAGTATTTAACAGGCATTTTTATAATATTCTGTAACACTTTCACTTAACTAGACAATACACATTGTGGTCGTTTAATAACTTTAAATGTCATTTTTTTAAAATCTCTATAATAACGGTTCCTTCTTAGCAAATTTAATGTGTAAAATAAGCATTTTTCGCATGCTTTTTAACACATTTTATTGCCAAAACTTTGAGATAGAGGATAATGTTATATGGATTAACTTTAACATCTCATTCTCTCTTCGAAAAAAGAGGTACTTACACAAATGTATAGCATTATAATTCTTTTTATTATTCAAATTTATACACTATTCATTTACATATTATACATACATCTAAATAGGCTAAATTAATGAAATTAATTACATAAAAAACATTTAAAAGCAAATTTGTTTATTTTATTAAATTTTTTTCTCAAAAGCATTCTTCATATTCCGGTTCAACATTTTGTATTGCTGGTATATTTGGATTGCATATTGTGTTTTTAATTGCATTATTAATATTAGCTCGCATTATTTTAAAATTGATTTCATTATAATTTAATTGAGAATATAAAAATATCGGTAATTTATTACTTATTATCCAAACATTTTGATTAATATCCTTATCAATTTTTAAATCATTTGGAAATACAATACCAGAATCATTTTGTGCAATAATATTTAAATTCTGTTTAGTATATGGCTTGTTTATATCCCAGCATCCAACTGAATCACGATGAACTAATGTAAAGAACATTATTTGATTTTTACTAATACCAGATGTTGAAGATTGTCCATTTAAACCTCGATTACCAATTTGTATAACTGATTTAGGTGCACCAGAGCCACCTGGAAGCCATAATGATTCATCACGAAGAATATTTGTTGATACTGCAAATTCCTTTTTGTTTTATTTTGCGAAAACACAAAAATAACTATTATAAGTTGCGAGTTGACAAACAAATATTATAGTATAAAAGTTTTTCTTTGTCTACTTACTTTATTACTTGCCATCGGATGAAAGAATAGTAATCGATCTTTATACCCATTAGCTGGTGATAAACTCATACCAAATGCACCATCAGGCCATTGAAAATTTAATCCATATACATTAAAATCACTATATTCTGGTGTTGGGTAATAAAAATGATTTGTTGTACGCCAGCTTTGATTTCTCGCTAAACTATAAACAACGATGCCATAACGCCATACATCAGTTACATAAGCATATGCATCATTACAAATACCATCCCTAATATCGACAATAATATTTGAATGAAGCGATTCTTGTTTAATCTAATAATAAAAAAAGATAAAAAACAAATCAAATTATTGAAAATACAAATTAATAAGCTGAAGTGTGAAATTAGTATACTTTATCATTAAAATTTAAAGTTAGGCATTATGTTGTCTTGGGCCTAAACAAAAATAATTTATAAAAAAAAGTTTTAGTAATACCTTTACCTTATAAGTGATATCTTTATATATAAATTTTATTAAAAACTGTTAAAAATGTTCAGAAACTTTTTCAGATTTATTTTTTGAATTTAATGTTTTAACCCAGCTGTTATACTTCAAAACAGGCAATCAGATATCAAACATTGATATTACCGTTATGTGGGCCTATTAACTTAAAAAATATGGGAACAATTTATTGCTTTAGCCTCCACAGTTTGGAAACTTTTATAAATATTTGTTAGCTGCATATTTTAAATTTGAGCAAAACTATCTCTAGATATCGGAGCCAACTCTCCACAACAATGTTAAAATTAAATTAATAATTTAATAGAATAAATTAAATCAACAATTTTTGAAAAATTGTAATCGGAACAAAAAGGCAACAAAATTCAATAGACAGAAATTCCTCTCAACAAAGAAAGATACATATTATATAACATACAAACATATGTTTATTATTAAATTTTAATGTAAATTATTACAAATACAATTTTACCTCATACGTACCTGTTCTGGTGGTAAATTGTAGTTTACTACTCTTTTATTAGAATTCAAATCGTATGCAACAATTTTCGGCGGGCATATTTGATTTAGATTTACAGTTGCATTTACAATACCAGAATCAATACACCATAATCTACCACATTCATCAATTTGTGTCCTGTAAACTGATATCAATTTATTGCAGTCTGGATTATATGGATCACCATGTTCATCTAAATTTGGATATGGTTGTAATAATGGACTCAATTCATTTGGATTCTTCGGTAAAAAATTTAAACTAGCTGGTACACCATCTTTCCATCTTGGTGTTGTTACAAATATACGATCTGATGATATATCAATACCAAGTGGTAAATTATTTTCTGGTATGTATTCACTTGAAAAAAAAAAATAAAAAATGAGTTCATACATTATTAATATTAGTAAAAATTTGTAATAGCCAAAAAATATATATATCATTTATCACAAATAATCGCAAATTTCAGTTAAGGTCTTATTTGCTGAATAAAGCAAATTAGTAATTTTTTTTTAAGTTTATGATAACAGAAATATAAACAAACAATTTATAACAAATTGTCGTTACACATTAATATTTATTTAATATATTAGCTTTATTTAAAACTAGTCGTGTGCCTCGTAATCAAGCATTGCAAATATTATATCTGTGGTTTTGAAATTATGTTCTATTCTGTGTGTGAATTATTTTAAGTTTACTTTTTTTTTAAAAAACGTACCAATAATATATATATAGAAATGTTTTTTTCCTAATTAATAATAACAAAAAACTTAAAATAAGAAAAGATCTTAAAACTAATTACAAAAAAGTACATAAATAAACAAATGATGAGCTTTTTTTACGATTTTATATTTTTGGAGTAATTTATTTTAGAATATTGCTTTGAGTTATGTCGCTTAAAATCGTAAATTAAGGCTAACAAGAGCGCTTTAAGCGAAAAATTACTGAATACGCCCGGCGAATTGGGCCACAAAATATCTGCAGTAAGGTATGCTTGTGGTAAAAGTCAGTCTTACTGAAATCCAATAGAAGCCCAGACGCGACGGACTCATAACGAGTAAAATAAAACTCATAATGACGGACTAATAATGACTCCGAAATAAAACAAAACAGATGCAATGAACAAAACACAGGGATTGTATACCCCAGGTGGTAATCCAGTAATAATGGAAAATCCACATTCTTCGGAGGCTGGTCTCATGGATTCTGGGGAAGACCACTTATTGCATAGTAGATCGGCGTTTATGGACCCATTTAGAAGGAGATCGGGGGTCATGCGATCACCCTCATTGGTGATTGCCGACAAAAATGACAGAGTTAAGGGTGATAACTCTGAGAAAAAGTCCAATAATTCTGCAGAAGACAGAAAAAAAATGAAAACACAAGAGGGTAATATGAGAAAGCATGTTATACAGGAGAGTAAATTAGGTATTCAGGACTCGAGAATAATCGAGTTAGAGAGTCATTGTAAGGTGCTACAAAACGAGATCTGGAAATTACAAGTAGAGAAGGTAAATTTAAAAAATCAAATTAAATCTGAACCAACAGAAAAATGCGGAAGTTATTGTATATGAAACCGACCGGGAAGAACTGGCTAGAGAAACTGACTATATCCTAAAACAGAATAATGCAAAGAAGCGAAAAATGAAAAAAATCTCCTGAAATAATTTCAGAGAAGACAGTAAAAAAAAATATGATGTGATCAGCACATAACCGACCGCAATGTGCATTGTCTAGTTAAGTGCAAGTGTTACAGAATATTATAAAAATGTCTGTTAAATACTTCTTTCCATTTTTTAGGACATTAGCAAGCTTATAGTTAATATACATAGAAAAATGTAAATTTGGCTCTTAGTAGAGTTTCGCTATGTGCCACCCAAATTCCCTGAAATGCTCGCCAGTTAGTTTCTGTAACAACCTGAACTCAAATATCAAATTTCAAGAAATTCCATCAATTCGTTCCGTATATATGGTGAAAAATGTAAAATCGGCCCGTAGATCAGTTTTGGAGGCCTGATCTTTCCAAAAAATGTACATGTTCATTGTTTTGACACGTAGAATTTAAATATTAAATTCCAATAAAATCGGTTGATTATTTCTCTTTATAGACGCAAAAATGTATATTTGGCCCGTAGTAAACGTCCAGTTGCTCACACCTGATTTCTTCCAAAAGTTAGGAGGTTTCGCAGACAGTAGAGCTGAGCTTACATATGAAATTTCAAGTAAATCGGTTGAATATTTTCTTCAAAATGATCAAAAATGTAAAACAGGCCCAGTAAAAGATGCAGTTCCCGAGGCTTGATATATCTCAAAAGTTGATCAATCCGTGCCATGGTGGATATAAACTTATATATAAAATTTTATCAAAATTGATTCAGCAGAACTTGAGATACACGGGTGCACACACAGACCGACAGATCGACAAACCGACAAACGGACAGACTGACAGACCGACAGGTTGCAAAAAATAGTTTATTTACACTTCCCTACTATGGAAAAGTGTATTCCCACCGAAAACTCGATATGCAAAATTTGTTGCTGAATATTATAAAAATGTCTGTTAAATACTTCTTTCCAATTTTTAGGACATTAGTAAGTTTGTAGTTACATACCTAGAAAAATGTAAATTGGGCTCTTAGTAGAGTTTCGCTTTTTGCTACCCAAATTCCCTGAAAAGCTCGCCAGTTAATTTCGGTAACAACCAGAACTCAAATATCAAATTTCAAGAAATTCCATCAATTCGTTCCGTAGATATGGTGAAAAATGTAAAATCGGCCCGCAGATCAGTTTTCGATCTTTCCAAAAATTTATATGTTCATTGTTTCAATACGAAGAATTTGAATATTAAATTTCAATAAAATCGGTTGATTATTTCTTGTGTATTTGGCCCGTAGTAAACGCCCAGTTGCTGATGCCTGATTTCTACCAAAAGTTAGGAATTTTCGCGGACGGTCGAGCAAAGCTTATATATGAAATTTCAAGAAAATCGGTTGAATATTCTCTTCAAAATGTTCAAAAATGTAAAACAGGCCCGCTAAAAAGTGCAGTTCCCAAGGCCTGGTGGAAATAAACTAAATAATAAAATTTCATTAAATCAGTTCAGCAGAACTTGAGAGACACGCGTGCACACACAGACTGACAGACCGACAGGTTGCTAAAAAGAGTTTATTTACACTTTCCTACTATGGAGAAGTGCATTCCCACCGAAAACCCGATATGCAAAATTTGTTGCCATCACATAACCTACCTATTGTATACACAATACGGTCGGTAAAAAAGTTTGAGCATAAACAAAATATTAATTTAATTCAAATATATGTATGTTTGGTTTGGTTTTTGATATGTATGTATCCGAACACAATTGATGATGGTTTAGCCTGTTTGGTTGAGCAACCCAACGAAAGATTTGGTAGCCAACCCTAGTAGTTAGGGTCGACCAAAAACGAGATTGGCGGGTTAAGTATCAAAACATCAAGTCTGACCAAGAGTTGGCGGCTACAAATGGGTTTCTGTCTTGAAGCACGCAGCTCGCTAAATAGTTTAGATGATTTATAGGACACTTATTCTTGAATCAAGGAGTTAATTCTAAAGGCGGATGAATTAATTTTTCTAAAATTGTATCAATATAAACTTCAATTTCTCAAGAACATCTCAAACGACAATACAAGAAAATCAAAGGCTCTCAGGTGATAAAAATCCCTGGAGATAAAACCAAAAAATTAAATATTGGAACATGGAATGTTCCAAGCTTGTATGAGGCTGGTAAAGTTGATAATGCAATATAAGAAATGATAATGCTGAATATAAATATACTCGGTATTAATGAGACGTGAGAGATGCTGAAGAGCTCCGAAAAGGTGATCCAACAATTTACTATTCTGGTAATCAGAATAAAAACCATGGAAACGGAGTGGGTATCATTGTAAGAGGCAATGCCGCAAAATGAGTTTCACTATTCATTTCTAAGCTTAACAGAGCGATGCTACTCAAAGTCAATGCAAAGCCTATTAATATCAATTTGCTTCAGGTATATGCGCCAACAGTTGACAAAAGTGATGAAGATATTGAGGAATTCTACAACAACATAGATGAACTGCTGAAAGTAACTAAGTCACACGAACTACATATCATATTGGGTGACTTTAACGACAAAGTTGGCTCTACTAAAGCGGAAGAAGCTGGATTTCTGGGTGGTTTGACAGAGTTTTGTCCATGCTTTTCCTATCTCCCAGGAGACTGTGACCGTCCAGACGAGTACCTGAAGGACTTAGCGAACTTCTGTGGAAGGAGGAACTTCTAACTGATTATAGGAAGTGATGGAAATGCCCACCACACCGTCTGGGGAAGCACCGACATAAAGAAGAGAGGTGAGCGTTTTTTTGAATTTATATATATATAAATAAGCTAGAAATTATGAATGAGGGCAATAAGCCAACATTTGCAAACGCGATCATGGAGGAAGTCCTTGACATCACTCTATCCACCAAATTTATTAGCAATTGATGGATGGCATGTCTCAAATGAGACATCTATATTCGATCGCAGGAAAATCGGTTTTAACACCAAGATCTCCGGGGGTCTTACAAAGGAGACGTTCTGAGTGCTTCAGTCCACAGGCTAGAGTCCATACAAAACGCTCCTCTGGGATGGAATGTTGGCTAATGGGGGCCTGACGGCGCCTATTTTTGAAGCCTTTTATGGGAGTTATCCTACCAAGCCGAGACGAAGCAAAAGCAAATCTCCATGGTGGAACGGGAACCTTTCAAGCCTTATACTGGAGACCAGGAAGCTGTTTAAAATGGTCAGGGCATCGGGTTCGTGGGAAAAGTATAGACGCTAGCTCACGACTTATAATAAAAAGGTAAGGAAACTAAAGAGGAGCTCATCTAGGTGAGCATTTAAAAAAGTTGGAAGAAAAACATCAAGAATATTGCTACAATAATAAGAAAGCATACGCAAAAAAAATTTGATCTGGTGAGTACAAAAGCACAAGAAAACCACGTGAAACTACCGCAAATAAACATACCAACGTTCAACAACCAGTATAACTTATAGACCAGTTTTTTTAACCTATTCAATTCGGTTATACATTCAAATAGCTAACTAGCTAACTTTCAAAACTCCATTATCTAAAAAGTCTACCGTCACTAGAGCTAATGAAATTTACGTTACAGTTTGGGAATTAATAACATCCACGTACAGCAACACAAGAATACTGTTCTCAACATGTATGAATAAGCTGCTATGTCTACCTTATTTAAATAATGAAACATCGGCTGGATTAAAAACATGTTGGATACTACAAAAGAATGCCTTTGTGCTATAAAAAAACTAGTCATTGAAATTGATTCCTAAGGCCC